GTCCCTCCAGTTGGGAAGATACATCACCCAAACTCAAAATCCCTCACAGGAAGTGCTACTTACCCAGTCCTGGTGTCTGCCAGATGTGAGGAAAACTGCAAACTGGATTTTGCTGATACTAGGAAAGAACTGCTGGCAGCAAAGCAGACTGCAGGAATGGTGCGCCCAGGAACCACAGCACAGGAGAGTACAGGAAATAACTGTCACCCTTCTCCAGACTTGGAGTTTTTTGGTGGAGCCTGAAAGGGAGTCACCTGGCAGTCCAGAGATTGGTTAACAGAGGTCCTGTGCCAGCATCACGAAGCAGGTACGGAAGGGCAGGCTGGGTACTGACAGAAGACCCCACCTGTGGACTCTGCTGCTCTGCAGGGGGAGCCCAGCAATCAGCCTCCAGGTGCTTGTGCTGTGAAGTCTGAGAGCAGCTGAGCTAGCAATTTGGGCTTCCAAATTCTGCTGGTGTTCAGACCTGCCAGTCATCGGTTTGAGAAAGTGCTGCTTCAGATTTAGTCAGGTTTTCACGTTCCCCCCACATTCGTAGAACGTTGGCACTGGTAGAAGCTAGGCAGATTGAAATTATGTTATAATAGTGGTTTCTTTGCAGAGTAAGTAGGAATGATAATTTTAAATAGAGTTTTGATTTTTTTTAAGTTATAAGCAGTGATCCATTTAAGAACAAAATATGCAAATCAAGTATGGATGTCTATTTTAGCAACAAAAATAGTGAGAAAAGGAATCATTTACTATATTTTGGCATTATATGGAATTTAAACATAATTGAACAAGTACTTATTAATAAATTTTATATATTATAAATAATTAGAATTATTTTCAGACATTGAAGCCAGTTTTCTCCTTTACAGTTTTTTGTTTTGTTTTTAAAAGCCTGTGTGTGGTACTAGGGTTTGAGTCTGGGCTTTGCACATGCTAGGCAAGTGCTGTACCACTAACCTACATCCTAGGCCTGTGAAGTGTTTTTTATAGAAAAAATGTAACCCTCAGAATGATTATATGCACACACTCAAAACACAGACCTAACAGGACATTTAAAGTGTGTCCTTTCTCCTTCCCAACCCCGTGGCTTTGAGTAATAAAAAGATCTACCAGTGGCTTGACCTTACAAATTGAGTGCTAACAAACTGTGTTCAGGTTAGAGGCCTATTCATTGATTTATTAAATATTACTGGGTTCCTTTTCATACTGTGCTGTATGACCTTTTAAGCACTGGGCATAAATTAGTAAACAATGCAGAGTTTCTACATCTGGAGCTAACAGTCAAATACATTGATACAAATAATAAAATGAATACATAAGATGGAGATGTGTTACTCAAAAAATAAACAGAGCAGTGGTAAAGAGAACGACTGGTTTGCAATATTATACATTAGTTTCTGTACACCTAGCAGCTAGCACTCAAAAATTTTTGTTGAATGACTCAGCCAAACTATGAGAGATTTGATGGTAGCTTCCAAGTCATTGGTGATTATAATATTGTAGATAATGAGATTAATCTCAATACACCAGGTTCAAATCCTAGAAAGTGAGTATGGTGGAGTCAAGATTAGACAGTGGTGATAAAAGATAACCAGATTTCTGGTATCTAGCCAGGTAGGAATAAAGGCAGAACAAGAAGTTAAAATAATACAAGAGAACCAAAGGGAAGAGGCAAGCAAGTCTGTGCCCTTGTTCCAGGTTCTTGAGATATGACTAAAAGAAATTAGTAAACCAGGCACGGCGGTGCACGGCTGTAGTAAACCAGGCCCAGCGGTGCATAGCTGTAATCCTAGCTACCGGGACTTGGGGCAGGAGGATCTCAAGTTCAAGACCAGCTTATACAACACTGCAACACCCTGTCTCAAAAGAAATTTTTTTTTTATTAAAGGGTTGGGGTTATAGCTCAGTGGTAGAGGCTTGTGTGCAAGGCCCTGGGTCTGATTCCCCTGTACCAAGAAAAAAGAAACAAAGAAATTAGTAGTCTTTTGGGGTTGTTGTTACAGAAACTTCTGGTTAGGATTTCAGGAACCATAGCCAGGGAACAATGTCCTAAAGCTAAGCCTCTGCTCAGGAAAACAGAAAATGTCTATGGAATTAAGAAACTAGTGAGAAAAAGGGATCAGAAAATTAATCATGCTCTTTCACCTATCCTAAAAACCTTAAAATAGATTTGAGTTTGTCTTCAGGACAAATGTAAAAGAAACAGCACTCTTAAATTTGAAATTGCAGAGAAAGTATCTAACCTTCTGTTAGTATCAGTGAAAAATGTATTAGCAGAGTGCCTTTTGTCAACACCTGAAATGCCTAGTTCCTGAACTTGCAATTACTGACTCTAGGAAGGGGAGGATTGCAAAGGAATCCAGGAGACCATCCTTACCTCTCCTACAGTCTTCTGTTTTCCACACACACATCAAATTTTTATATATTGTTGATGGACCTTTATTTTACTCACTTATATGTGGTGCTGAAAATCGAACCCAGTGCCTCACACATGCTAGGCAAGTGCGCTACCACTGAGCCACAATCCCAGCCTGACACATTAGATTTGTAACTAGCAAATGCATAAGAAAATTTGTCCTCCTACCACCATTCCAAATTATGACAGAACTACTCTAGTATTGTTTGAAATCATACATTTTAATAAGTTTAAAAAGATAATTTACCTTTTCTGGTATGCTTAAGGACCTAGATGACCTCACCAACCTAAAGCAGGGAGGGGGTCACAGTTGTGAAGATTGAATAGTTCAAACAGAGCTTCTAGGCACAAGAACATTTGAGAAAAACATTTCTTTTAAAAGAGAGTGAAAAGTTCCTTTATGACGATCGGGGAATTAAGTACAGTAGAATATTATACTTGGAATCCGAGAGATGTTTTGTATAGGAAAAGAGAACAAAGATTTAAAATGTAGCCAATTCAAGGAGACTAAATCTTCCAAACTTATCCTCAGTAGGTTTTTTCCCTCGTGAAAGAAGTTAGAAAGATAGAATAATAATAAATCACTGCTAGGTAATATCACAGGCAACAGGTAACACATTCAACACTGCCCTCAGTTTTAATCTAAATTCACATATACTAGGGGAGTGCAGGTCTAAGATATAGATCTTGATTGGATGTACACAAAATATTCCAGTTAGTATGAGGAGAAGACCAGAGGTATATGAAAAACCACATAGCTAAGTATTAGTGAGAAGTCTCAAATCAGCTTTTCAAATTTCTTAAAAGAAATGGTTAGAATCAAATTGCCTGAACTTGAACCCACACTAGCTGTGACTCCAGACCAGTGACTAATCCTTATCACCTCTAAATTGGGAATAACAGACTCTTGTTGGATTTCTGTGCAGTTTAGATGTGTTAATTCTTACAAGAACATTTAGCAAAGTGTCTAGAACATGGTAAGCATTCAGTACACACTAGCTAATATTTTAGCATTATTTTAACATTACTAACCCTGTTGAGTGTTTTAATATAAAGAGAATGGGAAGATCTGCCTGCCTTGCTATTGCTCAATCATTTTCAAACCACATGACTCAGGCCTCTCCACCCACCACTTAGACCCCAGGCTCAAAAACCCAGACTTTGGGAGAAGGAAACTTTTTAAAATAAGCTCTTTAAACCTAAGTGATATCAGGAAATGTCACACCTATTTACCAGCATAAAATATACCTGATCTTTCCATACTGAAGCCTTATTAAAAAATCAGATTTGTGTAAACTGTTTTCAATCCTTCTGTCCAGCATTTTCCCCCTTCTGACAAGTTTTTATCTCCAAATATGATAGAGTCTCCAATCATTTATAGTAAAGTCTAGGCAAAGATTTTGAAAGTTGACTTTTATTGTTCTTTTAAACATTTGTCTACCCAGTTATAACATGTTTTGCTGCTGCAGATAGAATTTATGTTGGTGGTCAGACAAAAGCCTGTGAAGTTTCTACAGAAGCAAAGCTGCTGAAACTATTTTGAAGTGGAATCCAGGACAGTGTACTGAGGTAGAGACTCGGAGATGGATTCTCTGCACTAATAAAGTGAAGCATAATTTACTTTGTAAACCAACACTGAGCCTGCCTGAGCCAGATGCGGAAAGGTGGGCGGCCTGAACGCTGCACCCACTTAACCAGCAGTCTGGGAAGCCCTGGGAATCTTGCCACTGGTGTCCAAGCTCGCATGATTAAGAAGTGACACATCCTGGGGAAGCTCTCCTCAGGAAATGCGTGGGCCACCAAGCTCGCCAGCAGGAGGGCCACAGCTCCTTCTGTGCATGAAGAGTGTGCAGAGTGCTGGCCATTCTTCAGCTTCCTTGTGGGGACGGATACATAGAACAGAGCTCTGAAGGAAACAGCAATCCTGACAGCCACACGAACACTGTCATGCCATCTCATAACCACCTGTGGTCTATTTCTAAGTTACTCTATGCTATCCCAATGATCAGAGCTTCCTACCTGCCCTTCCCCACCAGAAAAAGCAGTGTTCTGGGAAAACACAAAGAAATGATAGACAGAAAACACAATCTGATCAATTTTATTCATACTACCCATGAAAAGCAATTACATTTTTACATAAAATTGTTGATGTAGACAACAGAATCTTAAGAGTAGTATGTCTGATTAGAAATACAATACAGTAAATAGATATGAAAATTAATAGCATCCTTTAGTGATTACATTTATTCTGTGCTTTCTACTTAATTATAGCAGCATCTGTAAGATTCTCCTATTTGTTCATAGTTAACTAGCAGCGAAATTTAAGTTACACAAATGCAGTAGATATTTCCCTCCAAAGTTTCATTAATACAAATTTTATCACATTAACCAAATAAAATTACTTCTATTTCCTGAAGAAAAAGGTGGAGAAAGATTTCATAAGTCACTAGCTCCTCAGCAAAGGAGGGAAACTGGAAAAAGTGAGTTCTCATTGCCTGGACCAGCGCTGGGTGTTTTGGCACCTGCAGGTGTGTGCGTCTGTGTGTTACTGAACAAATGCTACGTAAACGTTTTTTTCTGCTTGATGTTGCAGGTGAAAAATATGTGGAAGTTTCCAGGAGGCCTGTCAGAGCCTGGAGAAGATATTGGTATGTATCTTACATATTATAAGTAGCTTGAAAATACTGAGGAAATCACGTGCTTACTTTATCTTGCTCTGTATCAAAGAATAAGAATGTAAATTTTCTAATTTCTTCAGACCAAGTCAGAGAGATTACTAATTCAATAAAATTAGCAGCAACATTTCTAGCATTTCAGTTTATTCCGTTAGTTTGAGGAATACCATTAGGAACTTAACACCTGTTCTGTTTAGGACTGTCTCTAGATTAATTTGTATGAAAGCTTTAGGTATCCATGAGTAAAGCTTAGCATTAAGGGTTATTCTGAATATGACCAAAATTGATGTTGGAGTTAAACTACAAGAAAACACAAATTTTGGACCATTATATCACAGAAAGGTGAATAATAACTTAAATTTAACATTGAATCAATATAATAAAGTCAGTTATAGAGCTAAAATGATGTAATTCTTCTCTTTATAAGAATTTTATCTACTATTTATTTTGAGTACGTAGGAAGCCAGAACAGTAAAATATCATGAGAAAGTCTCAAATGTGAAATAGCTCCCTAAAATAACTTACTGAGCTCAACATTTGACACAGAGAAATAGGAACTAATCTGAGAATTCTCTATGCCACTAATTTATAGGAAACAAAAGAATAAAAATAATTTTCTTGTCTATTCTTAAGCCATTGGATCAAATTCAGTGTCATCGTAATCACTAAAAATTTCATTTGATACTAACATTATTTCTCCAAGACCTCTTCCTTAACAGGCACGTCCCCTATTCTCTTTAGTCAGGAATACATTATGGAAATTTACTGAACTTACTTTTATTTAAAGTCAAGGCATAGTGATGTACACCTATAATCCCAGCGACTCTGGAAGCTGAGACAGGAAGTTCTCAAGTTTGAGGTCAGTTTTAGCATTTTAGCAAGGCCCTAAGCAACTGTTTCGAAATAAAAAATAAAAAGGTCTGGGGATATGGCTCAGTGGTAGAGCACCCCAGGTTAAATCCCCGTTACTATAAAAATTAAAATGTGTGTGTTCTTGAAACTTGATTTTTAAATGTTATTACAGATCAGAATGCCCTCTGTGCCTTGCATAGCCAACTCCTAACATCTTCCAGTAAACTGATCACACTCAGGTGTGTCTACAGCAGATCTTGGGTTGGAGAACTTACTGACCTTTTGCTTAGGTTCTGCTAGGTGTGCTGGTGGCATAGGAGTATTTTGTTGAGGAGTGAGCACTAAAAGAGAAGGCCATTTACTCTGCGAGGCTACCCTATTCTAATTACCATCCGCGGGAGGCCTGGGCATTGTGGGGACTAGGGAAGCCACGCCCAGCATTCTTATCCTGACCATTGGGGGACGTCTGGGGAGCTTCTGTGGCTTCCCCTTCTGAGGCTTGCCTTCACAAATGAATCCACTTTTTTTCCTTTGAACTTTCATGGATCCTTTGAAAGTCAGACTTACATATAAATATAAATGAAGAAATACACATTTCTAAGCTAAATACATTAAGTTTAGGTTTAAGTATAATCCAGAACCTTTAAGTCAAATTAAAAATTAAAAATGCACTTTTCAAAAGTATTTGTGGTTATCACACTCCACCATCCAGAGATTATACACATACCTCAGTCATGTGGAACAAGAAAAAAAGCAGCAACTGTCATTCATCTTCCTACCTGGATGTAGTATAAATTAAGCTATGTGATAAAACCCAAGAGCAGCTAGAAATGACCCCTGACAGTAGAGGTCTGAAAGATGTCTGTGTGAGGGTATTTCTTTTTTCTAACAGTACAAGAGGATATTCTTGATAATGAAGCCAAATCATCCAGACATTATGTAGATTATTTTCTTTAAACCCTACATTCAGGAAAGTAACATACTGTAGGAAGACTTCCATCACACACACACACAAACACTTCTATTGGCTCCAGACTGGACTCTTTGTTGAGTCCCAGTAAATATACTGATTAACTGGGAAATGTGTTTGTTTGGAATCTTTCATTCTTTGATGATACTACGTGAGGCAAACAGAGTTCTCTGTAGTGTTTCAGAAAGTAAGAGGGCCATACATATACAAAGTAGAATACAGTCCTACAGACTGTGGTATAAAGGCACCTGTGAAGTTAAAATAGACACACTGCCATCCTGGAAATGCCATCTCCTCTGTCGATCTGTAGTCACAAAGATTATCAGTGCACCAGAGCCATGAAAGCCCACATTCCACAGAATTCTTCCTGTTACTTTATTTCATTTCAACCTCGCCCTATTATTAAATATTACAATTTAGAAATAACAAGTATAAACTCCATTTCATCACTTTCCTGTAATTAAACAACAAAACATTACGATGACATATTCAAACACATCTCTTTTTTTCTTTCTTTCTTTTTTTTTTTTTTTTTTTTTTTGGTACCAAGGATTGAACTCAGGGGCACTTAACCACTGAGCCACATCCCCAGACCTTTTTTATTTTTAAGTTTGAACAGGGTCTCACTAAATTGCTGAGGCTGGCTTTGAACTTGTGATCCTCCTGTCTCAGCCTCCCAAGTTGCTGGGATTAGAGGTGTGCATCACCACGCCCAGCTACGCACATCTCTTAATCAGCAAAAATAAAAACAAAAGCGTACTAGTTTTTCCTATGTTCTTCACACTTGTCAAATAGTGTATCTTACTTCAGTTGAGGTTACAGTATATTAAAATAACTTTAAAGGCACAACAGAACAAGTCACTTGATCTTGATTAAAAAAAAAAAAAATTAAATTCATGTTGAAAATCCTTGAGGAAGAGATTTTCATCTTGAGGTGGAAGGGATCTCCAAAAGTCCAGAGGTGGAAGCACTTGTTTGCCCTTCCATTTTCAGGAGTGGTCAGTGATGGTACTACTGTGAGACTGGTCAGAACTCTCCAGGCAGTGCTGACTGACTTCAAACAGGACAGCCTGCTCAGCACCCTGCCCTGTGCTTCCTGGGCCTGCAGACGGCCTGAACTCATGAGCTCAGTACCCAGCTTCTTATTAGTGCTACTAGGAGCTAGACAGAATCCCCAGGATATTTTTCAGAGCATTTAAAGAATAAAAGTACAGATATGAACAAGAGTTAGGGGCATTATCTAAAATTTTAAGACCAGTGCCACCAACTTTAATAATCACTTTAATAACAAATATATACTGTATACAGATTAAAGTTTCATACTAAGGAATTTTTTTTAACCTAGATTATTCTTCTATGCCTTCAGTTGTAACCCCACCACCTCCACATTCTTCTCCCTGCAGTGCTGGGAACTGAACCCAGGGCCTTGCACATGCCAGCCAAGCACTCCACCAGTGAGCCACAACCCCCGCCCCAGTGGTTTCAGTTTTAAAATGTAAAACTAGTCATGCTGAGACTATGGGCAGATCTGAATAGGGGAAGTCATAGGTTAACTTGAGAAGTCCGTACTCTTCCTGCGCATGGGGAGCACATCCAGGGCACTGAAGAGGAGCAGAGGACCAGAGCAGCAGGGGGGCCTGCTCTTCTCAGCTTCCTCTTCCTTGCTCTTTTTTACCAGAAGAGTCACTAAGAAGGCAAAGTCACTGACAACATAGTGAAGGCACTTCAAGGTGTCTGAACAACAGCCTGTCTGTGGCAAGTGAGCCTCCCAGAGAAGCCGTCAAGGAAGGCAGATCTTTAAGGGCTTCTCATAGATGCTTCCAGAGACAATGACAGAACATCACAAAGCTGGGTGAAACCCATTTAGGTGGTCTTTCAGGATATTCGGGGAACACACCTCAAAAATATGGTAATAGTAATAAAAATCCTGCCACAGAAATTTTGCATTTAATTGAAAAATTAACCTTCTAGAAAATGAAGACCCTTATTATAAATTTTTAACGTAGTTTATTTATATATTTAGTACTGGGGATCAAACACAGGGGTGTTTTACCACTGAGCCACATTCCTCAGTTCTTTTTATTTTATTTTTGTTTAAATATTTATTTTTTTTAGTTGTAGTTGGATATAATATCTTTATTTATTTTTATGTGGTGCTGAGGATCGAACCCAGGGCCTCACCCGTGCTAGATGAGTGCTCTACCGCTGAGCCACAACCCCAGCCCCACAGTTCTTTTTTATTTTGAGAAAGGGACTTGCTAAGTTGCTGAGGCTGGCCTCAAACTTGGGATCCTCCTGCCTTAGCCTCCCCAGTTGCTGGGATCACAGGCGTGCACCATCACATCTGGCTATATGATACATTTTATGTATCCCTAGCCTTTTGAAAACTGATGAACATCTATTGCCTTTTGGTATTAAAAGACTGAGACCAAGCTCTTTGAAGTCTTATCTCAGGAAACAAAGGCAATGCCAAAACTTCCTGCAATGGGATCTCACTGCCACATTACTAGAGAAGCATAACAAAATGGTCACAGGGCATTTGCTCGGTGACCAGAGGCTTGACAGTCCCACCTGGGATCACCAGGAGAAATCAGAATCATTTAATAGCTCACTTGACCCATTTTTCAGCTCTGTGGACTTTTAGGGAAGAACAGACCACTTCTCAGTTCTGCAATATGTAAGTTTAGGCAGCTTTCATGGACGATCAGGAACAGGATAATAAAGAAGAAATATGTCCAAGTATTATCTGCACCTTTGCAACATGTTTTAACTTTTGCAACCTATGCTTTTACCTTTTGGGAAACAGAGCAGGAAGAGGTTTAAAAGATGTAACCCTAAAAAAAAAAAGTGAATGAGCCTCCAGTTAGCAACCAGCCAAAGAAATAGTCAAAAGCATCTCCGGTGTAAAGTAGTGAAATAATTTTGGTATTTCAGGACATCCAGAAGTTAGAGTTAGTATTGAAAGCAGCCAACCAAAAGTTTTGCTTCTGGACTTTGAGATTTTAACTACAAATCTTCAAAGCTGATGTGTCTAAAATTGTGATCCTTACAATCTGCACATCTGTACTATGTAGGAGATACAGCAGTTCGAGAAGTTTTTGAAGAGACTGGTATAAAGTCAGAATTCAGGTCCCTCCTGAGTATTCGACAGCAGCACAGCCTTCCCACAGCCTTCGGGAAGTCAGATATGTACATCATCTGCCGCCTCCAGCCACATTCCTTCACCATCAACTGCTGCCCGCAGGAGTGTCTCAGGTGCGAGTGGGTGGACCTGGTGGACCTGGTCAGGGCTGGAAACACAACTCCCATCACCAGCAGAGTGGCCAGGCTGCTGCTCTACGGGCACAGAGAAGGGTTTGACAAGGTAGACCTCACCGTGGAGGAGCTTCCAGCAGCGTCCACAGGCCTGCTCTATAAGCTCTATCACAGGGAACTGCCAGAGGAGTGTGCACTGTGACAGGAGCGCACTGAACCCACACCGACGTGTGTTAGAAATTTTAAGGAAACTGTCAATGTTGATTAATATATGCCAGATAATAAAATGTCATGAACACTTGGGATTATTAAATATTTGATGGTAATTTTCTAATGCCTATGATTTCCTTGTTGAAAATTCACATGTAAAGACACTTCAGAACCTTTTCAAATAATATAAATGTAAGAAAAACATAATCTAGGTAATCTTCATTGAGTAACAGCAGATGCTATATAAAAAGAGAAAGTTTACACATTTTCTATAATTGTTGTGTTTCTTTACTGAGGCAATGGTTAAATATTAGATAAAAAGCTGTCTGGCACGTTATCTAAACTGTGCTGTATATGATTTTCTTTTTCTCTTAACAGATTCTAAAATATGCTTCCTTCTTTCTTGTGAAATGAGATTAGATTATGCCATTAAAATCAGCTCTTAGCAGACATTGGAAGAAAAAGTATAGCTTTCTGCCCAGGTCCTGTTTTGGATCCAAGTTTATACTGCCCTGTTCGTTTCAGGGCCACATACCAACTGGAGTATTTCCTTGACCGGTAAGTATTGTAGTTATTTGATTCCAGTCGTTCAAAAAAGAAACACTCGTCCGTAACACATTTCTGAAAAATAAAGGAAGAATTACTTGTTATTATTTTTTCATGTTGAATATTCATGATAGGATAGTGTCTTGTCTGTCCAGCCAGCAGCAGTGGACTTGGTTGGGTTCAGCAGGGCAGTCAAGGGAGCAAGACTCAGTAGGCCAAACTGTGTCAGAGCCAGCTCTGCAGGGCACACAGGTCAGAACGCAGACTGTCAGCAAGGCACAGCCAGCACATTTCTGCAAGGGGATGAGTTCAAGGACCTGTCCTTTCCTCCTGAAATAAAAGGTGAGGGGTAGCTGCAAGACCACTCGGATGGAACAGGAACCACACTGTTCAGGCCCGAACTCCCACACACAAAACAGACAGGATGCCCAAGGAGGGACACACCCAGTGGCAAGAAGCACACTGAGGAGCCCAGGACTCTAGCCTCCAGCAGAGGAGGCCAAATAATCCTCCTTTCTTTATGTAATACCCAGCCCCAGGTATTTCACCATAGCAACAGGAAACAGACGAATATATGCATTTTGTGTAAACCGAAGTCAATTTGTTAGTATGTCGTTTTCTGTGTCATTGATTAAATGTCTTCCCCTTTGTTTACTCCAGGTTTAAGATCATGAATAAAAGTGAAATAAAAAAAGAAAGCAAAAGTCATAGAATTTATAAAATAATGTGACAGGTCAGCACTAAGCCTCGAAGGCATTCCCCAGAGGGGGACTTAACAGCATCTCCCAGTCACATGCTCACTCTGCTGTCCACTTCCTGGAGATCCCCCTTGCTGGATGGCACTCCCTACAATTTTTGGCCGAAGTTCTCACCCTGCCAGTCACGTTTGCCTTTTGAGCCAGTTTCTAGTATTTCAGAGAAAAGAAACAATACCAGGAACTAAGTAAATACATCAGAGAACCAACAAACTGTTTTTAGTTTACAAAAGCTAGTTGTACCTCTGAAAAAATCAGTGGAGGGAAGGGAAATTTGCATCTGTACTTTGTCCACAATGTAAACTTACTCAGTAAATTCACTAAACAAGTATTTCATACTTAATAACAAACTGCATTATTTTTTAATGTGTAATAGAGCCAACATCTCAAGAAAAGTGGTCCAATGAAAATGCAGTTTTCAGCCTCTGCCTTCTAAGTCTTCACAGTCCTGAGTGGCTGCCGCCTCAGTGTCCCTGTGAGCTGACTATGCGATGTGATTCTCTGACCCTCTAACACATGCACAGAGCTCTTTTCCTCGTCACAGGGTTTGCTCACCATTTCAAACTTAAGAAAATGGAGGTCTTGGAGGAGCACTGAAGAGAGGTGGGTGAGTGGCCTCTGAGGGCCTGCCACAGCTTGTGCCTTGCTTTCAAGACCTGGTTTTATGTGGGCCTGAGAGCTGGGGACCCCTTAATTCATGGCTGCTGACCACTTCGTACACTCCACACCTGAAGTGCCTGTGGGCAGCACGTTGGACCAGAGGAAGCAGAGGGCTGGAAGATGGGAACAGCAGCCAGTGAGTTTAGAAGATCCATGGGAAAAGGGAAAGCTGCTGGGCTTTGGAGAAGAAAAGTGCCATGAACTGACATTTTTCCAGGATTACCCTCACTACCAAAACCACAGGGGGCCAAAATAGAGGCCAGGGGCAATCCAACACAGGCAGAGAGCAGGGAGGCTTAGGTGGCGGTGGTGGCCACAGAGGTGTAAGAAACTTCTGGATCTGGAAGATAGAGTGAAAGGGTCTCCTGACAGAGGGAAAGTGCAGTGTGAGGGAAACACAAGTCATGAGTGGCACAGAAGTCCCTGTGCCTAAACATTAGACTGGCCATTGGCTGAGAAGGGAATGGCCACGGGTGGAGAAGATCTTACAGAAGGAGCAGGAATCCATTCTGCACATGTTTAGATGAATATTACATGTCCAAAGCAGATGAGCACTTATTGAGCACCTACTATCAACAGACACATCCCTTAGCCTTCTTCCCCTCTCACTAATGCTAACTGAATGTTGACAAGTACTCATGAATTAGGCATGCTATAAAATGTGTTATGAACTGTAATCCCAATGCACCATTATTCTTAAGCCTAAAAGGAAAGGAACCCCAAAAGGAATGTGGAGATCCTTGTTTTTGTTTTTCCTTAATATTTATTTTTTAGTTGTAGTTGGACACAGTACCTTTATTTCACTTATTTATTTTTATGTGGTCCTGAGAATTGAACCCAGGGTCTCGCACATGTGAGGTGAGCACTCTACTGCTGAGCCACAACCCCAGTCCCAAGATCCTTGTCTTAGTTGTAGTCAACACCTCAAGGTTTCCCCCAGAGTCTGTCCACATGACCAGCTCAGCTCAGAGCCCTAGAAGGGGCCCAATAATACTTTGTTAACACTGAAAATGATTTTAAGATGGTACTGGGAGTTCAACCCCTTGGTATTGGGTATGTGAATAGAGAAGAACCTAATATGAGAAATTATACCTAACACTTAAAATGTTTGATCTGGTTTTTCTAGTAAGTGTATACTTTGAAATTTCCATTTTTTTAATATTTTTTAGTTGTTATGTACCTTTATTTTATTTATTTTTATGTGGTGCTGAGGATCGAACCCAGTGCCTCACACATGCTAGGCAAGCACTCTACCACTGAGCCACAACCCCAGCCCACTATACTTGAAATTTCAACAAGAAAATTAAGTGATGTGACATATTTATACATATGAAAACCTGATCCTAAGAGCTGGTGGCAACCGCCAAAATCCTAATGGGCACTAATGGACTGGGGTTGAAGACGTGAGGAAGAGCCAACTGGCGTTTAGTTCACACAGATCCAGAGGTGGGACGCAGGAGCCTCTGAGGATAGGTGCACAGCTGTGCACATGCTTCCCGCTCGGCCAGCTGACAGGGCTTGAGCAAAGACCTCGGTGCCAACGAGCACAAAAAGGAGCTGGCCTGCTGGGAGAAAAGGCTCGTTTAGGCTGGAGTAGGAAGTGTAATGGGACTGCAGCATCACACGGGCCGCACCATGAAGGCCTTGAAGGAAACACCTGGACAGGGTTCTGTCAGAGGGCTCAGGAGCCAACCAGACCTCCAACGGCCACACTACAGCCACCAGAGCAGCAAGGGAAGAACACACACTAGATCATAATGTAAAGAGTCCCTGAATACACACCAATAAGTGATTAGGTTAAAAAACAGTAAGTGGAGAGCCGGTGCAGTGGCACACACCTGTAATCCCAGTGACTCAGAAGGCTGAGGCAGGAGGATCACAAGTTCAAGGCCAGCCTGGGCAACCTAGCAAGACCCTGTCTCAAAATAAGAAAAGGCGATGTCAGTGGTAAAGCACCCTGGGTTCTATCCCTAGTAACATAAAAATAAAAACGAAATGGACAATAAACCAATTTCTCTAAAAAATAAAAATAAAAATAATTTACACAGACATGACTCCCTCCAGGAGATGGTGGAAACCCTAAGGCCCCGTCCTGAGGCATGAACTGTTGCATGGGGACTTCCTTCCCCAGAGTTCAGGGAGGGAAGAGCAACTCTACTGTGAAGGCAAAGACCACCACAGCCAAAGAGCAAGGCCTGAGGACAGAAGGACCCTACTCCCAAGGCCTTCTTCCCAAACACTCTCAACCCTCCCACCCCAAGAAGAAGGTCAGGCAAAGTGGAGGCCATCCTGAATCAAAACTAGGGAATGCTAAGGAACTGCCACCACCCAGAAGGAACAAAGGAGACACCATGACTGAATCTGGTGTCTGGATGGGATCACTAAGTAAGAGCGAAGAAAAAAATGCATAAAATATGGAATTTAGGCAAAACTCTGTATCGACATTGATTTGTTAGTTCTAACAAGTGGACCCCTGAAATAGGAGAAATGGCATGGAATATGGAGAAATTTTCTATACTATCTTTACCCACTTTTTATAAACCCAACAGTATTCTAAAACTAAATTTTATTTTTTTAAGAAACTTTATCTCAATTTGATCATTACATATTGTACACATGTACTGAATTATCACATTGTACCCCATAAATACATGAAATTACAATGTGTCAATTGAAGTAAAAATAAGAATTTAAAAAAACTGACCCCAGGAATTCAAATACTACTGCAAAAAAAGAACCTCTCAAGTAATTGGATACAGTAACTCTAGCTTGATATGAAAAAGCACTGCATTTATTTTTGTGCTCTACCATGTCCAAATGCATATATGTGTTTATGTAAAACTGTGTTCACCAGAGTATAAAGGCCACATGACCATAGTCCCATTCTGAGCCTATAGCTGTGTCTACAGCTGGTATGTCATAAGTGATCAATAAACATCTGCTAAGCTGTGGCACAAATGAAACTCTTATAGTGAGTGTACAATAAAAATGTACAATTCAGTGTCATTGCAAAAGCTAAATGAGATACAGAGAAATGAGACCCGAGAAAACCCAGTCCAGGAGCCAAAATAACAGAACATGGGTTGACTTTATCCACGACTGGGTCCTAGGAAACCAGAGCAGGTGGCTGTTCCAAGTTAGAGATCCTTGCTTCCCGTCACGGAGGCTACTGCTGGCCAGGAAACCTGGACCCAATTTTGCCTTGATCCCTCACCAACTTGTATCTTGGATCAAGTTCTTTAACTCCTCTTGGCCTTAAGAAGCCTGGATTAGATGATGGTTAAGATCCTTCCAGTTTCTAGGAGACTCTGCATACAGTAAGGAAAGAAGTAAGAAGTGAAGGCGCTCTCCTCTGCTCCTGTGCCCCGCCCCCAGCACTCTGCCCCTCAGGACCCTGGTCCCCTGCTGGATTGTAGATTGGAACCTTATGGCCGTCTCCCCAGGGCCTGTTCTCTGGTTGTTTATCCTTTACAGTACTTTGATTCTGCAGTTTTGGCTCATGAAGGAGTTTGCTCAATAGGAATCAGAAAATGCTGCTGCTTACACCACTTCTGAGAATTAAAAACAGAGGTGATGTAAGAATCAAAGTTGAGGATTTCAGAACAAAATGAAAAATACAAATGGTGAAAAGTTAAAACTAGTTTTGGTCTTAGTCATATAAATTTGCTAAGATTGGTTTCAGAAAGCAGCAGTCATTCTCATTTGGCAGCCCCCTTTCATTTCATCTGGTATTTTCTCTTAAAAATGACACATGTTCCTCTGCAATTACTGTATATTTCTGACAAATTTGATCAGTATAGATTGTGAATCTGCATAATTGAACCCTCAAAAATCTTATTATTTTGCCAGGTGTGGTGGTGCATTCTTTTAATCCCAGTAACTCAGGAGGCTGAGGCAAGAGAATCAAAAGTTCAAAGCCAGCCTCAGCAACTTAATGAGACTCTCTCAAAATAAAAAATAGAAAGGGCTGGGGATGTGGCTCAGTGATTAAGTACTCCTAGCTTTAATCTCCAGTACCAAAAAAAAATGGAAAAAAAAAACTATTATATTTACTGTATTTATAGAATTCATTTCCTTGTTAAGACCCCTCAAATAGGAAGTTATTGTATATTCAAAACTAATTTTACAGTATTAAATGCATAGTCTCAGAGATTTTATATATCCTCTATTTCACTACTGTGTATCCACACAAGTTAATGTTGAGATATCTCGCTCAGGGTACCATGATCTGTAGCACTATGTAGAAAACAATGTACAACTTTCTAGTAGACAGATAAGCCACATTGTTTCATAAAAATGCTAACATCAAGGTTGTTTGGTGACTGAAAGGTGAAACTACAATCAACCTCAGTATAAGTGATTTTTCTTAAATAAGGAATTTTGTAAACACTTAAGAAATCACAGACCCTCCCTAATATTTATTCTGGGCTTCTGTTACTCATAGCAACAAAATTGATCCTGCTATGAAATGGTAAGTAAGCAGTCTGTTGTATATTGAAGAACCGCTCAACTCCAACCTACAAATACAGGCCCGGGCAGTTAAATATAGTCACCATTTGAACTTTCACATTTCCTAGCTTTTAAAGGCAAGAAGAGAGCCACAAGACGCATTTTCACAATGCTGTTCTTAACCTGATTTCATTGGGTCCATAAACACGTGAAGCTGTGTGGACAAAGGGCACAGCTGTCCTCCTGTCCTTAGCTGGCAGGGTTCCACCTCACTCTCTGAGAAGGAACTAAAATGTCTTAAAATCCCTGCAGGAGGCCCACTGGGATAAAATGCAGAGCCCCAGGGACATGTTGGGCACAGCTGACTGGAAAGGGCCCAGGTTCAAGAGTGGGACGGATGACACCTTGGGCACGGCAACCCCAGCTTCTCCAGACCATGAGACCCGCCTGCATCCCACCAGGCACCATCAGAAAGCACCTCTCAGCCTGAGGACTGCCAGCCCACCCAGACCCAGGTGAACGGGACAGAACCCAAACTGCCGCTGAGAAGGCAAGGTGGCCAGCCACCAGGCTGACAGAAGACTAGACGTGCACTCGTGACCTTGGCAGGAACAGGTCCCCTGACGGGACCCCAAATGCACCTCAGAGTCAGCAACAGTCCTGGATCCTGCCCTTCCTTACAGGAGACTCACAAATCCTGAATTTTCAATTAAGCAACCGCTGTGGCTTTGTCCCTGCACAGAGTTTGTGATAAAACTTGTCAGCATTGCCAAACTGACGCTCACCGCATCAGCTTGGCAGAAGCCACCGCCTCAAGAAGAGTCAGCAACCCAGGGAGAGAGGCACATGGGGACTACAGAAACACCAAGGCCTCTGACAGCTCTTAGCCAAGGAAGAAACCAGAAAGCCCTGCGCTTCTAGGGGCAGGGTCAGCTCCAGGAAGTTCAGTTTCTATTTACCAAGAAAAAGGTCAGAAGTCTCAGAATTCTAACCTGTCACAAATTCTGTAAGAATAAGACAACAAATTGGCAAATTATATCGTTATACACAATCATGTAACAACAAACCCCACTGCTGTGTGCAAAACTTAATGCACCAACTAAAAAAAAGCAAAAAAGAAAAAAACAGAACGAAACAACAGTTCAGTTTTCAGGCCTACTGTCCTTCAAGTCTGTCTCGTCTCAGAAGTAACTCATTTTAAAGATGCACTAAGAGAGAGCAGCTTGTTTGTATCACTTTTGACAACTTGGGGGCTTTTCATGACTATAGATGTACCAGGATTCCTGCCGTGTGGAGATGAACAGTGCCTCCAATGACATCTTACAGGGCCACTAAGATCACAGGTCACCGGGTCTTCTAACCTCTACGCCTTTGTTAGGGTTTGGATCTTTGATGTCCCCACAAAAACTCATGATTTGAAAGCACAGTACCCAACACAACAATGTTCAAAGGTGGCACAATTAGATTGTGGGGGATGTAATCTCAGTGGATCAATCCATTTGATGGATTAATAATTTGGACAACTGGTGGCAACTGTAAGCAAGTGGGGTGTGGCCTTGGACTATATCTGTCCCTGACCCCCGCCTCTCCCTCTCCCTCTCCTTCCCCACCCGCCCCCACCCCATGCTCCCTGGCTATGGTGAACGGAGGATCTGGCCTGCACCATGCTTCCCTCGGGTCCAGAGCTCTGGAGCTGGACAACCATGGACTGAGACTCTGAAACTGTGTCCAAAATAAACGTTTCCTCCTCGAAGTTGCTCTTGCCTGGTATTTTGGTCACAGCGATGGAAAGCTGACTCACACAATCTGTAAGACCACAGGGTAGTAAGGAATCTCAAGGCCATCCCTGTGCTGATTAGACAGACACAGAGAAGGCTGGAGCTCTAAGACCCCGCGACTAGCGCGTCCATGGCTGGTTACCACAGAAGCAGACGCCTCATTGCCTTTCTGTCCTCTTACCCTCGACTGTCTGAAAGCAGCCACACCACACTGCTGCAGATGCCATGGCCATCCGTCACATCCTGAGGCCAGGCAGGCGAGAGCTGTAAACCCCTCTTCCTGACTCTACTGCACCATCAATGTCACCCAAAATTATCCTGGTTCACTGTTCTGGAAACATTTAGAATGCTAGTTTGGTAGATTACCAAGCTGACAACAGTTTGGTAGGAAAAAAGCCCCATCAGCACAGGCCTCCCCGGCAGCCCCAAGCCTAACCCAATCTTAATTCCCACGTGCTGTGTTTCTGGGTTACTTCACTCACTTAGAACTTCAGGCTTTCCATCTGTGAAATAAAGAGGACACGAGTCCTCTATTTAATAGGGTAAGTGTGAAGATGAAATGATAGAATGCATGTAGGACTCCTAACAGATTTAGTAAATGCCAAGGCCAGTGGATGAGCAGCCGCATGCGCCCCAGGCGCCACCTGCAAAGCCAGGCATTACTCACAGAAGCCAGGAGCCTCCCGTCCTCCTTCATGGCCAGGTATCGGTTTGCACACAATCCCTTGATGGACACAACCCCTCGGTCTTCGGCTTGAAGCTGGAGCTTGACTGTAAATAAAGGGGAAATTACTCTTGTGGCACCAGAGAGAGAAGAGCCGTAGCACAACACAAACAGGACCATGGTGCCTGCCACCCACCAGCCCCCTGAAGGGCAGCGCCACTGGATCAGAGTGGGTGGGGGCCACTGTGCTAGAGCAGGAGCTTCAGAGCCCCACACATTGCTCACAGCTCCCTGCCCACTTGGTACCACCAGTGAGCAGAGGGGGACAGATTGGGGACTTGTTCTTTTACTACAGATCAGTTCCATCTGGCCTGTTAGCCCCTTCACATTTTGTAAGTGAACATATTTTCAGAGTGCATGGAAATGTCGGTGTACCATTTGTGCCAACGTCTGTGCTGCTGCCTTCGCTGATACCCTGTAAGAGTCATTTCTAAGCAATTCTTCACAAGTAGAGACTGTCCAGCTGCTCCCTGCAGGCTTCAGGCGCACCTCCTTGACATCTGTACATCTCATCTCCAGCCTCCCCTCAAAAAAATACTAGTGCATTTATCTTTCCTTATGGAAGGAGTGGATAAATACCTTTTTAAAGTAGAAAAATACGTGAATACTTCATTGGATTATGCAGTGTGATGAAAGATTTCCAGAGTAAAAGCCCCTAAGGAGGATGACCTGTTACACTATATTATTAATATTAAGAGGGTTGTGTGGAAAACCCAAATGTTATTTGATTACAATGATAATGCAAAATGAACCAATAATTATCTAATTGAAATTTAAACAATGTTAAACATTTCTAGTTTGATATTCAAAGGCAGCATTTGCCTGCCTATAACAAAATTCCCCAGAATGTATTATGGCTAATAGATTTTACACAAAAAACATATTTTCAGGTCAAATAAATTTAGGAAATTCCTGGTGAAGCCAGTTAAGTCTTTATTGCCAAACTTTCCAGAATTCTGCTTAGCATAACCTGCTTTGTAAATCATCATGAGGATCAAGTATAGAATGTTTATCAAATTTATTTATTAAAAAAAACAAGTTTTATCTTAAGTCGTCCTATGACCTATGAAGGAATTATTGAGCAATAAAAAAGTCAAAATTTTAGAAATCAATAAAATATTATCTGGATAACATTAGGAATGTGAAATTAACTTTCCTTAGTGTTTGTAAGTAGCTAGAGGAACTGACCAGGACATCACAACTTTTGAAAGATGCTGAAATAATTATTAAATGTATTAGATGTATCACAATAATCATGTTAAATTATTTTCCTATAGAAAACAATATAGGACCTGGGCTGTGGCTCAGTGGTAGAGCCCTTGCCTAGCATGTGCTAGGCCCTGGGTTTGATCCTCAGCACCACATAAATAAATAAAGGCATTGTGTCCATCTACGAAAGAAAGGAAGGAAGGAAGGAAGGGATAGCCATATACAGATAAAATGAGACAAGATACCTGCCATTAGCTTTTCTCTGGTGATAAAAAATATTTTTTTAGTAAAGCGGGTAGGGCCAAGCATGGTGGCACACACCTATAATCCAAGCAACTTGGGAGACTGAGGCAGGAGGATCAAAAGTTCAAAGCCAGCCTCAGCAACTTAGCAAGGCCCTAAGCAACTTAGTGAGACCCTGTCTCAAAACAAAAAATAAAAAGGGCTGGGGATGTGACTCATGGTTAAGCACCTCTGGGTTCAATACCTATTACCCAAAAAATAAAAAAATAAAGTGAATAGGAAAAATAAGACTGGATTGTTTCAATAGGTATTGGAAGCATGGATTCATTATTCTATATATTTTTATGAATGTTTGAGAAATTACAACAAAAAAGAAACCAAGCCCTGTGATTCCGTTGGTGACTCAATGTCTGCTTCTCCTCTGCTCAGTCCTCCTGGACTCCAGAGAGCACAGCATCTTACTCAGGCAAAATTCTTCCACCAAATCTTTATTCCCCCCTAGGCTGGCCTCCAACTTGCATTCTCCTGCCTCAGCTTCTGAGTCCCTGGGATTACAGACCGGCATCAAGCACACCCAGCATTGTTCTGCTGAATCTTAAAAGATGGTACAAAGCCAGGCACAGTGGTGCACACCTGTAATCCCGAAACACAGGAGGCTGAGGCAGGAGGATACAAGTTGGAGGCCAGGCTGGGCAATTTGGCCGGACCCTATCTCAAGGTCGGGATGTGGCTCCAGGGAAGAGCACCTCTAGGTTAATCACCAGTCACAAAAATAAAGGAAAGAAGAGGGAAGGGAGGGAGAGAAGGAAGGAAGAAGGGAGGGAGGGACGAAGGAAGGAAGGAAGGGGGGAGGGAGAGGAGGGAGAAAGGGAGGGAGAGAAGGAAGGAAGGAAGGAGGAGGGGAGGGAGGAAGGGTGGGAGGGAGGGGAGGGAGGAAGGGGGAACGGAGGCAGGGAGAGAAGAAAGGAAGGGAGGGAGGGAGGGAAGGAAGGAGAAAGAACACAAAGTAAAAAGAACGTAAAAGCTAAATCATCTGAAGGACTCTGAGTAAGGGTTGCACCCAGGTCCACAGGACCGGGGCCTGCTGGATTGACCCCAGGAACTCCGAGCGCACTGGCTCACCTCCTGAACTCCTCCACTGCACAGTGCTCGCTGCGCAGGCTGCACACCTGACCACTGTGCTTTCTCTCTGTTCCTTGTGGGTGACCTGCCTGTGCTCCAGCCTGCCACGCCTACTTGTGAGCCACTGTGGGTCCCATGCATGACTAGGGCATTCGTGTGCCCACATCGGCCCTGGCCCCACGGCCCTCTGCGGGCTTCTCGGGCACTTCTCACTAGGAGCCTGGCCGTCACAAAGCAACACACTAACCACAGATGTCTGAAAGCGTTTTCTTTGGCATGATTTGGGGATGGGGAGGTAGGGATCAAACCCAGAGACGCTTACCACTGAGTCACATCTCCAGCCAGCCCTTTTTATTTCTTTATTTTTTTTATTTTGAGAAAGGGTCTCACTAAGTTGCTGAGGCGGGTGTTGAACTTGCAGTCCTCCTGCCTCAGCCTCCAGAGTTGCTGGGTTACAGGTGTGCACCATCACATCCAGCTGACATATAATTTTTTAAATATAAGATTTAAAGATAACCAGAGTCTCTAACAAGAAGTTGAATAAGTCACAAAACCATAGATTTTCTTTTAAAACATACTAAATTCCACATACAAATGACATCTTTCCATAAAACAGGTGCACAGCCACCTTCATCTCGGACAGGAGGGGAGCAGGAGAGACCAGCAGGACTTCAACAAACTGAGCAGCTGCTGAGGGGAGGGGTCCTAACCTGAGGAGCCCTGATCCAAGGGCAGATCCGTGCTCACCAGTCAGTCCTGGGCATGGAGCTGGCCCCAGGTGCAGGTGCCACACAGCAAAGGTGGCCCAGAACACGAGGTCCTGCAGGACCCCAGCTTGGCTGATGAAAGCAGCACAGAACAGGACAAGAGCAGAAAGACCCCCAAGAACCTGGGTCTTCACCAAGCACAAAGTCACAGAGCAGCAGGACAGAGACTTTCCAAGAGGCGGATGGAGTTCAGCAAGGTCAACTCCCCATCGGCCCCACCCGCTGGCAGCTGGGCTACTGGCAAACTAGGATGCTTGGGAACTCCTGACCAGCCCAGAAAGGCAGGAGGGGAGGAACAGAAAGACAAATAGCAGGTGGGATCACTAAAAAACAGCCCCAAGACAGCGGATTTGAGCCCAGCCATGTGATTACACTGAGTATGACACTCCACATACCACTGACAAGCAAGAACTATCAGTAAGATTTTTTAAAAACTCAACTATGTCGTTTATAAGAAAAGCACTTCACGTTCAAAGATACAGGAAAGCTGCATGTACCCACGTGAGGCAGAGATATGAAGTGTACCCCTGAGTACCAGAGAGCGAAGAGGGCCATGTTGACATCTGACCTCCGGGATAAACAGGGCGGCTCTGTGACAAGAGGTTCAGACGCACTAGGAGGAGCAGTCACCTTGAATGCACAGCACCTAGTACAGAACTCCAAACCACCTGCAGCAAAAACTGACCAAAGAGAAGAAATAAACCAGGAATAGAGAGAGGAAAAGCATGGTCCATCAACTGGACCCAGTGGCCTTTCTTTTGCATGCCTAAGACTTCACCTAAGACACCGTTCTCCTGTTAACGTCATACTGCTTTGCAAACTGGTAAACAGTGAACCCTTCCAACATGGAAAGCCACTCCATGCCCACCTGCCCCCTGGGCTTGACCGGTTCAAGTCCGTTGACTCCATCTGAGAAGGTCTTCCCCTCAAGTCAACAGTTGCTAAATAATGCTGAGGACCCTTGCCCTCAGCTGTCGGTCTTCCTAGTTTAATCTGTAACATCCTACCTGAGATATGGTGTGCACACCACACTACTTGCCCTCTGAAGCATGCATACGAGTCTATGGCTTTGAGTACATTCACAGAGCTGTGCAACCATCAATCACAAAACATTTTCATCACCCACACCCTTTAGCAGTGACCCTCCATGTCCCCAACACCACCACTGCCAACCTTAGGTAACCACTAATCTACTTCCTGTCTTTGCAGATTTACCTGTTCTGGGTATCCCATATAAGTGGAATTTTCAAAGCACAGTCTTGTGACTGGCTTCTTTTACACAAAAGGCTTTCAAGGGTCCTGTGTGCTGTCCCACACACCTGTACTTCATTCCTTTATATTGCCAACTAACAGCCCATTGCATAGACAAACCACATTGGGTTTCTCCATTCATCAGCTTATGGATATATGGACTTTGGGTCCACTTTTTGGTTACATAATGCTGCCGTGAACATTTGCGTAAGAGATTCTGGGTAGAATGTTGTCACTTCTTCGGGTACATATGGAGGAGGAGAATCACGAGGATGTATGATGACTCATGTTGAATCCTTTGAGGAACCCAGTTTTCTAAGGCAATGGCACCACTGACATGCCCATCAGCAGCAAGGGGAGACAGCTGCTCCACCTGCTGGCCAGCACCTGTGACAATCGGCTTTTGTCTTTTAACGAACCATCCGGGTTGGGTACAACTGTGTCCTTGCGGTTTTGGTCTGCATTTCCCTCTGGTCTCGCGAGCTCCCGGGCCAAGGCCAGGTCTTCTTTGGGGAAATGTCTGCTGGG